TATATATATATATCCAGGCTGCTCGTTTCATTTATTTTTACACACTTTGACAACCAGCATGTGAAATAAAATCTTTTACTAGGAAAAAAAAAGACAAAAACAAGCTTGGCATTAAATGCAAAAAAAAAATTATACCCCCAGGCTGCAGACATGTGCAGCTGCTACCTCAAAGGGAATAACATCAACATCAGATTTGTCGTGTTTGTACAAATCTAAGCCTATTTACTCATTTCTGCGAGGATCAGAGTTCCTCACTTTCACCCTGCTTGTCAGACACATAAATAGTCTGCTTCATAACACACACACATACTGTACACAAACTCACACAAGTTAGGATTTGTGGAGATAAGTTGAATTACAACACTTCACACAAACTTTTAATTACAAGAATGAAGTCATAATGTTATGAGAATAAAGTCATACTATTACCAGAATAAATTCATATTACAAGAAAAACGTTGTATGAGAATAAAGTCACAATTTTATGAGAATAAGGTCATAATTATATGAGGAAAAAAGCCAATGGAGAATAAAGTCATACTATTACCAGAATAAAGCCTACGAGAATAAAGATAGTCATAGTATTATGAGAAAAATGTTGGATGAGAATAAAGTCAAGATATTATAAGAAAAATGTAATGTGAAAATAAAGTCATAATATTACCAGAATAGTCACACTAAATAATAATAAAATATTATTCTTACCCTAATACTCTGCTGTATGTAACAAAAAGAAGCAATTATTAAAAAAAATTACAATGATGGCACAATAGGTGAAAATACAGAGGATATTAACATTTTCTTAGCAGTTTATTCTTATGCTATTTTTGTAAACTTTACACCACTGTCAATTTTCACTTACACATTTTAATGGCAGAAATAAAATGCTTTTCTTGACTAAATTGCCCACTTTACCTTTACCTCATTATTCATACAATAGGATTTTTTTTGTTTTCTCCACAGCAGAAGCAAAAAAAAAAAAAAAAAACATTAAGTACTTAATATAATCACATACACATAACTACATCCACCCGCTCTGTACTACACCACCATCTCTTGACCCTCTCTCTCACGATCCTTTTAATCTCTTTTATAATTTGCAGCTCTTTGAAGTCTTCAACTTCCTCGGGGAGATTTTCATCTTCAGCTACATGGGTTATATATGGTTTATGTTTCCTCACCACGTCTTCCAAGCTCTCTTCATTTCGGGGGCATTTGTATCCTTTTCTGCCTGGTGATGGAGCAACTTCACCTCCTGCTGTGGTGTCAGAACTCAGATCCCAGCCAGAACTCACTCTGTCCTACTCTGCTCAACCGTCTAAACCTCCGGTCACATTCTTATTTCCAAAACCACCTAACACTTATTTGATTATAGCTGTCTTCTTGTTTTTAGTTTTGCATTTTTGCTTGTCATAATTATTTCCACAGCTTTTAAAAACAACTCCAAACCTAAAAAGTTTAATAACATTCAGCTGGCCTTTCATGCTCATTAACTACGGATTTGCATTCCCACAGTACTCCATCACTTTGTGGACACCTGTGAAGACAAACTTAAATGGAACATTTATTATAATTACTGCAGCTTTTTTTTCGTTTACACGGGAAAAACTCAGTGGAATAAAAATGCTGTGCTATTTGAAAGTAGGTTGCAGTAGTTTGTGCTTCAATCAAGTAAAAAATCTGTAAAAAATATTTTTTGCAGTTTATTAAATTCCTGATTATTAAAAATAGACTCAACACTAAAAGGCTTTTATATTGTAAATTATTACCCAACATGTTTTTCAGTGTCCTAACTAGAGGAGGCCTTCTTGACGCTCACATTCTTGTTGTGTTTCTTTCAGTTCAGCTGTGTTGCAGCATTCAACTCATGGCTCAGCAGCTTTGCACTCCTGCCCAACACGTGGCATTAATGGGCTGGTTTGTCAACGCTCTATTTAAAGGAAACATGGCTAATTTTAACAAAATTATTATGGTCTTATACTTCCTAGGGTGGTTAATTGTCCAAATGCAGATAACAATGATAGTATTTAAAAGTAGCTTCTATTTTTTCCTTTTTGCTTTGGTTGGTTGTTTTCGTCTGTTGAGTTTTTGACACCACCTTTTTAATGCAAGTTTATTTTTGAAGCGTTCATCGTTGTTGCAAACAGTTTGCCAAATCCCAGAATCCATATAAACCTGGCAGACCATTATGCATTGATACAGATGATAAATTTTGCATCACACAAGCCTCACAGTGTAATGGAAGGTTGAGTGGATGATCATACAGCGGGTAAAATAAGTAACATGTCACCATTTTTCTCAGTAAATATATTACTAGAGGTGCTAATGACATGAAATTTTCACCAGATGTCGGTAACAACCCAAGTGATCCATACATACAAAGAAATCAAACCATAATTATCCAGAAATGAAGTTATTTGTAATAATGTGGAATGGCACAGGGAAAAAGTATTGAACACACTTACTGAAATTTATCTAATACTTTGTACAAAAGCCTTTGTTGTCAATGACAGCTTAAAGACGCATCCTGTATGGAGAAACTAGTGGCATGCATTGCTCAGGTGTGATTTTGGCCCATTCTTCCACACAAACAGTCTTCAAATCTTGAAGGCTTCGTGGACCTCTTCTATGAACTCTGACCTTTAGTTCTTTCCATAGATTTTCTGTTGGATTCAGGTCAGGTGATTGGCTGGGCCATTCCAGCAGCTTTAGTTTCTTTCTCTGAAACCAGCTGAGAGTTTCCTTGGCTTTGTGTTTGGGGTCATTGTCTTGCTGAAATGTCCAGCCACGTTTCATCTTCATCATCCTGGTAGATGGAAGCAGATTTTTTTATCAAGAATGTCTCTGTACATTTTTCCACTCTTCCTTCCTTCAATTATTTGAAGTTTGCCAGTACCATATGCTGAAAAACAGCCCCACACCATGATGTTCTCACCTCCAAACTTCACTGTTGGTATGGTGTTTTTGGGCTGATGTGCAGTGCCATTTGACCTCCAAACATGATGTGTATTCTGGCATCCAAACAGTTCAATGTTGGTCTCATCTGACCAGACTATATTCTCCCAGTATTTCACAGGCTTGTTTAAATGTTGTGCAGCAAACTTTAAAGGAGCTTCAACATGCTGTTTCTTCAGCAGTGGAGTCTTGCGGGGTGAGCGTGCATACAGGCCATGGTGGTTCAGTGCATTACTTATTGTTTTCTTTGAAACAATCGTACCTGCTAATTCCAGGTCTTTCTGAAGCTCTCCACAAGTGGTCCTTGGCTCTTGGACAACTCTTCTGATAATTCTTTTCACTCCTCTGTCAGAAATCTTGTGAGGAGCACCTGGTCATGGTCGGTTTATGGTGAAATAATGTTCTTTCCACTTCTGAATTATGGCCCCAACAGTGCTCACTGGAACCTTCAGAAGTTTAGACATTCTTCTGTAACCGATGCCATCATTATGCTTTGCAACAATAAGGTTGTGAAGGTCTTGAGAGAGCTCTTTACTTTTACCCATCATCAGATGGTTCTTGTGTGATACCTGGTCATCACTTGGGACTGAACCAGCTGATATTAACTTGCACTGACAAGGGGCAGGCTTGCTTTTTAATTACTGAGAGAGTTCAGCTGGTGTCTTGGCTTTCCATGCCTTTTTACACCTCCCTTTCTTCATGTGTTCAATCCTTTTTCCCTGTGTCATTCCACATTATTACAAATAACTTCATTTCTGGACATTTATGGTTTGATTTCTTTGAATGTATGGATCACTTGGGTTGTTACCGACATCTGGTGAAAATTTCATGTCATTAACACCTCTAGTAATATATTTACTGTGAAAAATGTTGACGTGTTCAATACTTATTTTACACCCTGTACATACGTTAAGACATAAGCTCCCACCTGATTGTCATCCCTTTTTTTTTGTAAACTCATTACTATAATTTTGGCTCCAAATAAGAGCAAATCTTTAAAATAATCACTATCTTCTTTATAATTAATATCTTGTAGATCAAATATAATATAATAGTGATTTTCTTCAAATGATCAGGTTATTTAGTAGCTTACATTTAAACCGTTGGTCCCAAGAAATCAGCAGCTCCTGAAGAATATTGTTAAAAGTTAAACTATTGTAACAAAAGCCTCATGTCCATAACTGCTGTCAGATTTTATTTATGAGGGACATGGATGAGTACTTAAGGACTGCTGGCTCCCAATTATACAGTTATCCTTTCCAGATAGCTGCTGTGACTGTAGTGTATGCCAGAAAAAAAGACTCCAGTGGCTGTACTCCAAAGAGCTGTTCTTTCACAGTCCACTGCCCAGATGGTCTGCAATTATTATTTAGATCCATTGTCTACTGTTGGGTCAGAAAGGCCAGAGCAAAGCATGGATGGAGCAGATTTTTTTCAGAGCTTTTTCCAAAATAAAAAGGCTCCAAACCGGAAAACAAAAGCTCCGAGTTGGGCCTGATTGTCTTCAATTATTCCTTTGTTGCAAATGCCAAAAGTCCAGAAAAATATGGCCACTGACACGTACTGGAAATTGACCTGGATGTACAAGCAGGTAGAAATGGAAGTCAGAGTCATCTCACAGAGCTGTAAATGTGTCTATAAAAATGAAATAACCCCAGTGATTAAACCTTGTTAATCGCTCTTTGGCTATTCACTAGATTTTAATCGCTGTACCTTGCAGCCTTTGCCGGTGACAATGGAGATCGGCTTTATTGGAAACGAGGCTGAGATGAAAGTGCTTAATTACCTCCATTTAAATAGCTCAGAGGCCTTTGATAAAGAGAGATGACTGCTTTTGGGAGCAGGATATTGCTTTTGAAATTCCATAGGGTGCACCAGATCTAATATTGACTGCGGAAAGCAAAGGAACTCTGTTTTAGTAATAGCCCTGTCAAAGATGGGTCCCCAGCTGAGGATATTGGTGCTTTTATTATTTCTTGCATTATATTTGGATTTTTATTTAGCACGAATGCAAGACCATTCTCTCCACGATTTTGAAGCATGGTTGCCTGTTGTCTGAATCAACGACTTTACTGCTTTAAATTTATAGACAATCTTAAAACATGTGCCTGAAGTTTACTCTGGACTCACTGGAGATGCCTCCATAATGGCAACCTCTGCTTTAAATGGGGTTAGAAGGTTACACGGGACAACTATAACTTCTTCTGAAAGTGTGACAAAAGACATTAAGTGTCTCTAGAATTGCAGCTGTGTTCCTGGTAATTGCCCACCTATCATCTTCGTTCCTGCTGCCCCGGACACTTAACATTCAGTCCCATCCTGTGTGAGACATCAAAGTGGGAGTGTAGGGCAGAGACAGCTGGTACCGCCTGATTGGTTTCGTACCTCGGCATGGTGCCCCACTGCTGTGTTTGCATACAAAACATGCTTTTAAAAATCTATTTTTTTATGTTTGCCGTCTTGTGCATGTTTGTAAAGGTTTTGTCGTATTATAGTAGCCCTTGGTTTGGCCAAAACATGAAATACATTCGTACACCACAGCAAGGTATTTATTTATTTATTTATTTATTTATTTATTTATTTATTTATTTTTGTCGTCGGCGGTGACATTTAAGATTATGCAAAGTGTAAGGCAACATGAATATAAAGAATATAAAGATGGAACAAACTTTTTTATCCTTTTTTAAATTTATTTTTAAAATTAAATTATGTTGATGAGTGTTGCAAAATGCTGTTGTCGTATAAAATGTATTGAAATATGAATTCTTTTTGGTAACACTATAACAACTACACCTTAATTAACCTTACTTAATCATTAATAAATGGTTAGTTAACCTTAAATATCCTTAATTAAACAGGATTCATACTTAATAAGCTATAAATGAACCCATTTATTAATTCTTTACCCATCAAGGCTAATTACTTCCAAAACCAACATACTCATTGTTTATTCATGTTTAATAACTTATTTATTAACTATTCTATATATTGTGTGTATATTTATGCAAATGCTCATATAAATATACTTTCACACCATGTGTTAGACATGTATTAAAGGTTAGAGAATATTTGAATTGACTTTGCCTTGCACACTTGGCCCTTCAGGTTTATTTATGTTTTTACATTAACAAATACGGAAAAAAACAGATCGTCTTCACTTTAAAAAGTTTCACAAAAATACTTGACTAACTTTATTATAAGTAGTAAATAGTAAATTCAAACATTTTGGAAGTAATTAGCCTTTATGAGCAAATAATTTAAAAATCTGTTAATTTATAGCTTATTCAATATGAAACATCCTTAATTAAGGAGGTTTTAAACATTAACTAACTGTTAATTGATTATTAAGTAAGGCTAAATAATGTGTCATTACAAAGTGCTTCTGATATTGTTTTTGTACTGTTTTTTTTTTTGTTTGTTTGTACATTTTGTTAACCTTATCTGGTTTGCTACATTTACAAAAAAAAATTCTAAGAAATTTTGTCTGCTGTACTCAATTCTATTCTTTGTGTGCAAGAAAAACTGCACTTGAATTTAAGAAGTTGTTCACATTCTCCTTAATCACACTCAATCCTTAGTTATCCATCTTTCTTTCAAGAGCATGCAACATCTACCCCCTATCCTTCCTGCTAAACCTCTGTCGTACGAACAAGATATCTCCCGCTTTCCAACATTTCATGGTGTTTACAGGTACTGTTTCCTTTTACTCTTGTATGTTTTTAGCATTCACTCCAGCTATTTTTCTACTCAAGAAAAAAAATCATTCTGTTTTAGTATTCAAGACAGTTTGATGCCTTGCATAGTTTGAAGATGCAACATAAAGATTTTGTTTGCAAAGTGATGTAGAGCAGTTACATAGCAGCATGTTTCTCTGCTTGTCTGACCCACTTTACTCCTTATGTAAGAGAACTTCATTGTAAAAAGCCCTTAGTTTGCTGTTTTTTCTATTTCTCACAACTAACACCCTCCCCTTCCTGTGAGAGTAAATAATTTGCTGTGGGAAATGTCTTGCCTTGAATCACTGTTCAGAAGTTTGTTTTATGGCTTTTTGATGTCCAGCGAGTGACCATTGTAGGGTGTAATCGGTTTCTCTTTGGGTGTAGTTGTAATTTGGATGGCTTTTTACAGCCTGTCTATAATAACTGGTTGCTTGATGGTTTTCTGGTGGTTTGACAGATGGCATTAATTGAGCTGTTTTGACAGAAAATTTTTCTTTGCTCAGGTTTGAGGGGGGTTATTGCTTTCAGCCTGGCCATCAGAGACACGTCAACAAAAGCAAAGCAAACCATCCTCACCACCACTCTGCTTTTGGTGGTCTTCACTGTCTGGGTGCTGGGTGCAGCTGCCGATCCCCTGCTGCGCCGTCTGAACCTCAGGTTAGTGCTTGTCAGGTGACACAACAAATTTGATGCAGATTGTCTCATAATTTGGTCGTCTTCGTGTCCTCTGTCTGTTTGCATCACACCTACAAGAGCAGTGAAAGATTTACAAAATCCTTTTGCTTACTTATGTCTTTGTTGGTGAGGTTTTTGCATGTTTGCATGTCACTTCAAATTCTGTATTGCAGTTCTGCCCAAAACTACTGCATGAAAGGTCCTTATAGAATGTTACAAAGTAGCCACACAGAAAGTCAGCTTGTCATGCTGTTCACATTAGGTGCATGCATAAAAAACATTAGATATGTTGCTCATAATGACAACACACAATGCGGCTGCTAATTTTCCCTTTAAAGTCTGGGTGCAGTCTGTGATTCGAGGCCAGTGGGCGATAATGATTGAGGCGCGCAGAAGAGGCGGGAAGCTTGCAAGGCAGTAATTAGTTACTTATATTATTAAAGTGCAATCTATGGCCCAGATCACTGCAGCATAATTGACTCCCAGAGTCTTCTGAGACAACTTGTGCACACTGCCTGTCAATATGACCTTATAAATCAGCTTGAAAACATCTGAATATGTAGTTATCAGGTCAAAGTAAATGAATTTTTTTAACTCAGCTTTTTTAAGATAAATACTACAGAAAGTGAATAACACTATTGTGGAAGAGGAAACTGATTGGAGAAATAAAGTTTAGTAAAAAATAAGAAAAACTAATGAATAAATACCAATTAAGATGGAAAAAAGAAATAAATCATAATAATAATCACTTTCGAAATTATAATATAAACTAATAATTCGTAATTCTTATGGTAAACTCTAATAATAATGACACGCAATATGGCTGCTAATTTTCAATAAAAAAAGAAATTTAAAAGATAAAGTTGAGATAGTTTTAAAAATGATTGATCTTTGAGTCTTGGATCATTATGAAGGGAGTCTCACAGCTGACTGGCCCTGACTAACAGAACCAGGTCATCTGTAGAACAGAACAAGAGAAGTTCTGGCTCAGGAGGCTGGGGCTTTGCAGAGACTCAAAAGTACAAACATTGCAAAATTGGAACATAAAGTCCTTTTGTCAAGTCAAACAAAACCCAGTGGAACCCTGTTGTTAATGGATTGCTAATTGTTTTTAGTAACTCAATCTGTTTGTCGAATACTTTCCATCCAAATAAAACTGCCCTTCACCATTGTGAAGCAAACAAAGAGTAGTATCTGAGGGAAATCCACCTAGACATGGGATTTGGTTTGTTGTATATTTTTTCTTTGTCATCTCTAGACCTGATCTCATCCATATCTTTGTAAGACTGAGCTGCATAAAGTCTGAGCTTACAGTACATGGTGTAACTTCCAACTTCTTTCAAAATCTGCCTGCTCTCTCAATAAATCTCTGAACAAAGCTGGCCATTCGTGGTCATAAATCCAAACATTATGCTTGCTTATCTTTACAGTTTCCATTTCGGTGGTGGCTGATTGACCTGTTATTCTGCCTCTTATCACCTCACACTATCAGCATACAAACAAATATATTATTTGATGCTGTCATGAATTATTGCCTTTTTTAAATCTCACTTAACCGTCAAACCTTCTGTATATTTTTATAACTAACAGCTTAAATTAGACATTAAAATGAACTCTTCATTAATAGTCAAATTTGAATTCTTGTGAGCTCCATGGTGGCAATTTGTTACACAAAGGCGGGAGTTTCTTAACAGCCAGCATTCAGATGTGCTTTTGTAGAAACTCAATTATTTGTAGCAGTTACTGGTTTAAAAACATGCTTGCTGGGCCTTGAAATTACAGAATGATCAGCAAAAACTATTCCTAAACGTCTTTTGTAAGAATGTATTTTGTGTTTTATTTGCATGCAGTTTAGGTTCTTAATTTTTGCAAAACACACCTTTTTGTGTTCCCATGACAGTGCAGTCAATGGGCCTCATGCAAGAACCGTTCGTACGCACAGATTTGTTCTTAAATTATGCGTACGAGTGATTTAGGAGAATTTGTGGCATTCACCAATGTTTTCGTATTCTAAGATTTTTTTCAGATACGAACAAAATTTACGAGTGGTCCAGACC